AAAGACCTTTCCACTGGATAGAAAAGCCAAATTGAACTAAAAGGATAAATAGCTTCACCATGCGTTGTTCAACTTGGGGCTAAGTTCAATAGTTTCACCATGCGTTTTTCAACTTGGGACTAAAAGAATTTCAGGTTAGGAGGAATAAGTATGGAGAAGTGCTCTGATGTTTGGCAGTCAAGTCATTGCTCCTTTTTCTGGTAAACTGAATTACTGTGGCCTAAGGAAGACAGAACTCAGAAAGAGGAGGGTCTCAAATACATGGCTATTAGGCCAGGTGCATTGGCTCACACCTGTAATCCCAGCACTTGGGAGGCCAAGGAAGGTGGGTGGATCACTTGAGGTCAGGAGTTCGAGACTAGCCTGGCCAATATGGTGAAACCTGTCTCTTCTGAAAATACAAAAACTAGCCGGGCATGGTGGTACACATCTGTAATTCCAGCTACTAGGGATGCTGAGGCAGGAGAATTGCTTGAACCCAGGAGGCAGAGGTTGCAGTGAGCCAAGATCACACCACTGCACTTCATCCTAGGTGACAGAACAAGACTCCATCTCAAAACAAATAAATAAATAGGTCTGGTGAGGTGGCTCATGCCTGTAATCCCAACACTTTGGGAGGCTGAGGCGGGTGGGTCACAACGTCAGGAGTTCAAGACCAGCCTGGCCAAGATGGTAAAACTCTGTTTCTACTAAAAAATACAGAATTAGCCAGGCATGGTGGCAGGTGCCTGTAATCCCAGCTACTCGGGAGGCTGAGGCAGAGAATTGCTTGAATCCCAGAGGCAAAGGTTGCAGTGAGCCAAGATCATGCCATTGCACTCCAGCCTGGGGAACAGAATGAGACTCCATCTCAAAAATAAAATAAAATAAAATAAATAAAATAAAATGCCATTTCCTAGAACTTGGAGAATAAGAAAAGAGAGGTAGGGTAACAGAAATAAAGCTAAGAAATAAACAAAGGGTACATTTATTTGAGTGAAGAAAATATTAAACGGCCTTGAAAATCACAGGTGTTCCTCAAGATATTTATGTAATAGAACATAACTTACCTAGGATTGAGAGGAATAATAATAAAAACATTTTTCACTTAAGTGCATCTGGAGGCATATGAAATTAGACTTTTGATGGCAGCCTATGCTTAGCTATGTCCTTGGTGTTTTGACCTCAGGCTTCAGGCTGGAAATGTGTTTTCTAGAGCAGACATGGAGCACAAAATATTAAATGAACTTTGCTGTATTCAAAACGTCCAGCAGTGTAGCATCCTCCTTCTTTGGCAGGGAAAGAGCTCAGCATTTGGAAACTCAGCAGTGCATTAAGTATTTTAATAATCATTGTTGACACACAAAGCATATGGCCTTTCAGAATCATTGGGTCAACTGTTGAAGTTGTCTTCTAGATTTCTAAAATTACCTTACAAAATTCAAACAAAATTAAATTAGGACATATTTCAAACTACACTAATTCATGAGCTTTGTGTTACAAGCAAGTGAAATTAAGTTTTCTCCTAGGATATAAGAGAATCTATGAGTAACCGTTTATATTAATGTAAAGGAAAAAGCAAAATTCACACCCCTGCAGAAAAAGTTAATTTGCGTTTCATTAGAAAATCTAGAAGTTCCATGTAAGTAGGCCAGCCTAACGGATACCTTATATTTACTTTGTACCTCCCAGTCATGCCTAAGACCCCTCTCATATATGTATCCCCTCATTTCAGAAGCCCTCATTGTCTGTTTCCTTATAGTTTATATCAGTTGTCTGTGACCACAATAAGGCTGTGAAATAAGCAACCATAACACTCAATGACTTAAAACAATAAGCATTTCTCACACTCACAAGGCTATGGTAAGCAGGGCCATGTCTGTCTTTGTGGGCTCACTTGTGTCTGTGGTCAGCTGTGGGCAGGGAGGTGCTCTGCTGATAATGGCTGGGCTCCCTCATATGCCTCAGAGTCAGCTGGTCAAAGGCTGATCTGCTGGGACAACTGGTCTCTCCTCCTCATGTCTCTTGCATGCATATGCTTCTCACCCCCTCCAGCGGGTCAGCACAGGCATATTCTCAGGGCCATCTCAAAGAAGCAAGAGAGAAAGTGGAAACAGGCTAGCATTGTTTTATCAAGCCTGCAGTTTCATTACATTTGTTAACATCCCATTGACTAATGCAAGTCACATGGCTGAGCTCAGAGTCAGAGTAGGAGGACACTACAAAGTTACAGGGCAAAGAATGAGGATACAGGGAGGCCATTAGTTAGGGCTTTAATGCCATCATCCTACAACCCCACCCCCACCCTGTTCCAACACCAGCATTAATCATTTCCTTGTCTATGCTGCTCTCTGTTCCTCACTCTTAGTTCTATGTTCATAATTTCCCCATTCTGTTATAATGTAGTGGCTAACTTGTCTCTCCTCCTTAAGAGATTAGGGAGTCTTTATGTTTATATGCATTCATCTATAAATTTTTATCGACTACCTGTTATATGTCTCATTCCTTTACAGCTTTACAGAAACCCCAGTTCCTAGCATTGGTCCTGACACATGACAGGCACTCAGTAAATACATGTTGAATGAGGGCATACTTGACAGCTCCCACTCCCATGTGTATTGTCTTCCCCTTTGAAGGAAAAGACTGGAGACAGATGCCTTTCAGGACCCCAGTTGAGGTGGCCTTCCTGGCCAGAGCAACTGATGACCAACACAGGGATCTACAGTGAAACATCTTCCCCTCCAGACTCCCCCACTTCTCCCCTCCAGAAATCAGATTTTCTCTTTTCCATCTTCCTATTCCTCTCAAAGGAAGACAGGAAATCACTAACACTCATCCTAGACTCTTTTTATAGTCAGAGCTCCCAAGTAATTTTTACTACTGGCTCTTTGCTCTACAGTGGAGACCACCCAGCTCATGGTATGGTCAGTTTGAAAGGAACTGGATGACTACTGTTCTTTGATCTTCCCAACTCGGTAGACCAAGAATACAGAAGAATTCTTAGGACAGTTTTGACATAGCTATAGACACAAGATTCTATTCATACAGGATATTAATTCTATCAGTGTGGTGTTCAATGTACTGCCTCATTATTTTCCAATTCCATAGAGTCCTTCAGGGAAAACTTGTATTTCTGGGTAGAATCATAATTCTGAGCTTTTTGATTGTCCAGTGAGTAGTGTAAGTTGCTTGGGAGGCAGAATAGCATGGCTTTGGAGTCAGGCCGGCTAATTTAGAATGCCAGCCCTGCCCGTGAGTAACTTGCCTTGATGAAGTCTCTCAATCCTCATCAGTGAGAGACAGTAATAACAGTAGCCAAAATAGAATGATGCTGGCATGTGATAAGTAAAGTGTATTCACTGTTAGATTTAGTATTATTATATAACATCCAATAATTTTCTAAGTTGCGAATATGTTCATATTAGTAGTAAAAAGTTAATGTATTTTGTATAAAATAGTCTACATATTTATTTTTATTAAAAAATAAAATCACTTCTTAAACTACTTTAAAGGTTATACTTTAAAATGAATTCAAATACCTCACCTTTTGCAATGGCCTGAAAAATTTCTTTATTCAGACAACAAATATGTATTCAGTACCTGCTTTGCACCAGGTTGCCAGGTGATAGCATTATAAACAAGGTAGACGTTGTCCATGCCCTCCTGATAGCCCGTGATGAAAGAGTTATTGTTAATACATCAGTGTTACTTCCAACTCTCAGTAACCTATCTAGTATCTATAACTTTAGGATGATATGAGATAAATTAATATTTGAACTCATCACACTGAATACATTGAATATGTACAGCTTTTTATCTGTCAATCATATAAAAAGTGGTTTTTGAAAAATTGGCTGGTTTTCTTTAACCAAAATATGATGTGTTGACACTTCAGATTGAAGGAAGGCGAAATTTTGACTTCATATTTTGTTTCATTTTTTGGTTTTGTTATTGTTGTTTATTTGTTTGTTTTTATGAGACAGGCTCTCACTCTCATTCAGGCTGGAGTGCAGTGGCACAATCTCAGCTCACTGCGACTTCCACTTCCCAGGCTCAAGTGATTCTCCCACCTCAGCCTCCCTACTAGCTGGGACTAGAGGCATGTACCCCCACGCCTTTGTTGTTGTTGTAGAGACAGGGTTTCACCATTTTGCCCAGGCTGGTCTCAAACTCCTGAGATCAAGTGATCCACCCACCTCAGCCTCCTAAACTGCTGGGACTATAGGCGTGAGCCACTGTGCCCAGCCTTGACTTCACAATTTTCAGTGCAGCTGTATCCAGTTGTAAAACTTTCTATTTTGTTATGAAATAGTGTGTAAAATAGACATTTCTGAATTTTTCCCTGACCTTTACTCCATTCCTGAATTACTGTATGGTTCAAGGATCGATGGAGGATTGCTAATATACATTACTCAATAGTAAAACGTTTCATCCCTGGGAATAGTTTTTTTAGGCTGTGTCAAAATTCCCTCATATGAGATCTTAGATTGGATCCTGGAGCAGAAAAAGGACAGTAGTGGAAAAACTGGTGAAATACAAATAAAATCTGTAGGTTAGTAAATAGGATAGTATCAATGTACATCTCTTTGTTTTAACAAATGTGGCATGTTCTATAAGATGTTAACATTAGGGGTAGCTGAGTGAAGGGTATACAGGAGCTCAGCTTCCAAAGACTGTAGGAAAACAATGGAGCAAAGATGGTTTCCTCACCACCCTGCTTGTCTCCCGTCTTCTCTCAACCATGGTCAGCTTGTGAATGTCTTGAGAAGAAAGGAATTTTAACATCAGACTAAGAGAAATAGAATTAGGATGGCAAGTCTGCTATAAAATCATAGTGTGCAATACTTTCATTTGGGCCCTTTGGAGGCAAAGAATGGATGTTATAGCATCTTCCCACTTGAAATTTTCAAAAGTGTTTTCATATATGAAAGAGAAAAGTCCTGCTGTTGGTTTCATCTCACCTGAAAATTTTAGCTACTTAAGGGTTGGAGTGATTCAGAAATCCCTCTTTATTTTCATAGGTACAAACACAAGTGCGCCTTGCAAAAAAAAACTTTGATAAATTGAAGATGGATGTGTGTCAAAAAGTGGATCTTCTTGGAGCAAGCAGATGCAATCTCTTATCTCACATGCTAGCAACATACCAGGTAACAAAGTGATGTTGTTGCAATGAACCAAGATTGCCATGAGGTTTAAATAATATGAAAATGGTGTTTGAGCTGGGCGCGGTGGCTCACGCCTGTAATCCCAGCACTTTGGGAGGCCGAGGCGGGCGGATCACAAGGTCAAGAGATTGAGACCATCCTGGCCAACATGGTGAAACCCCGTCCCTACTAAAAATACAAAAATTAGCTGGGCATGCTGGCACACGCCTGTAATCCCAGCTACTTGGGAGGCTGAGACAGGAGAATTGCTTGAACCCAGGAGGCGGAGGTTGCAGTGAGCCCAGATTGTGCCACTGCACTCCAGGATGGCGACAGAGCGAGATTCTGTCTCAAAAAAAAAAAAAAAAAAATGGTGTTTGAGCTAAAAGTATGGTTTGGACATTGTGAAGCTCTGAATGCCTTTCCATAATTTCACTTCCCACATCTCTGCCTTCTAGGGTCCTACAGTTTAATCAAACCAAATAGTAGCTATTCCCTGTATGTACCATAATTTCCCACTTCCTTACATTTACTTCAGGGGTCCCTTCTACCTGGAGTGCCTTTCTCTTCTATCCATGCCTTTCCAAATTCCATTCTTTTTAATGTATCAGACAGAATGTGCTCTCTTTCAGTAAGCCTCCTCTGAACTCACTTAGCATAGTGTCTATCCGTCTCATGGCACATCTTCTTGTTAGTATTCAATGCATGTGTTTTTGTCTCCCCTGTTAGTCTCTGAGTTCCTTCTGTATAACACTGTCCGTCAACAATGCTACTGAGCACCAACTGAGGGAGGATGCAGGATGCTGGATGTTGTAGGGAATATAACAATAAAGACCAGGGCTGGGTGCGATGTCTCTCACCTGTAATCCTAGCACTTTGGGAGGTGGAGGTGGGCAGATCACTTAAGGTCAGGAGTTCAAGACCAGCCTGGCCAACACGGTGAAACCCGTCTCTACTAAAAAAATACAAAAATTAGTTGGGTGTGGTGGCAGGTGCCTGTAGTCCCAGCTACTCGGGAGGCTGAGGCAGGAGAATCACTTGAACCTGGGAGGCAAAATGAGCTGAGATCTGCACTTCATCCTGGGCGACACAGTGAGACTCCATCTCAAAACAAACAACAACAAAAAATATTAAGACCAGCTTCCTTGTCTTCAAAGAGCTCAAAGTTTAGGAAGAATTTGGAGATAGTGAAGTCTATTTTTCTATACCTCTAGGACAGAGAAGGGTGTGCTAAGTAAAATAAGCTCTAAGAAAGCCAATGACAGCTTGAAGAAGGAGAAATGGAATCAGCTGAGGGATTGAAACAGTAGATTATTAATGATTTGCCCTGGGTTTTGGGGGATGGATCAGATGAAACAAAGAGAATGGAGAGGAGAAGGTCCCAGGTGATAGCAGCAGCATAAGATCTGGGAGGCAGTATTTGAGGAAATAGGGAGGCATTTAGTTTGGCTGAAATACAGAGTAAATGGGGGCATAATGGGAAACATGAGAATGAGTTAGAATCATGTTTAGAGAATCTTAAAAGCTACAGAGAGTCACACTTCCCTGGGGTCTGAGACTAGGCATTCAAAACAGTAATAGCTTTACTGTCTTTCTCTGCAGACCACTCTGCTTCATTTCTGGGAGAAAACTTCTCACACTATGGCAGCCATCCATGAGAGCTTCAAAGGTTATCAACCATATGAATTTACTACTTTAAAGGTATGAAAGCTAGAGGGACCACTAGAAAATCTTGAGAGAAGTAAAGTTTTGTTTATATCACAAGCAAAGTCCATTGCAGAAAGCATCATTATTTCTGGACTCAAAATGCCAAAGAGAGAACTATGCCTCCAGCAAAGTCTTTTTTTTTTACTGTATCAGGATTCATATAATGATAATCCACTGCGATCCAAAAAGCACAAATTGAACCTTCAGATACATGTTACTGGGAGATGAATTGTGGTGAGTTTGAGTCTAATGATTGGTCCTGCTCCTTTAAAATACTTGTTTGGCATGCTAAAGGGGAGATTGTCTAAGTCCCATAAACTCAGTTACTTTTAATTATTTATTCAAATATCCTCACTTGAGAAAATATCTTCCTTTCCTCACTTACTTCTGAAATGTATCATTTTATTCTGAGAGTACTGTGCAACATAAAATCGAATTTTTCTGTAAGACTATAGCAATAGTTTCTAATTGAAAAAGCAGTATTAAACTCAATGATTTTTCATCTCAGAAGAGATACATGCATAGTGTCTGATCCTCAGTATTGGATCTGCACATGGGTTGTTTTCTCTCTAGTGGTTACAAAGGATTAATGCATATTGACATAAAGAAGTGATTTTGGTTGCAAAGGATTTTAAGAATGATGAAAGAACAATGGATACTTGATTGCCAAATCATATCTTTGAAAGAAAAAAGTGAGGCATGAACCAGCTAAAGTTCACCTCGAACATGCCTTGCTCTTAATTGTTCAAGCAATTTGTATGTGTTTTATCACCTTGCTTGACAAGCCATCAAAACTTTAAAACACAATTTTCTTTGCCTTAAATCACTTTTTTCTCTTTTTTGATTTTGAGATGTGTATAATGTCATTGCATCTATACAAGTACCAAAAATGCTTTAAGACCCTGGTCCTTAAAACGAAGCTTCCAAGAGGAAGCCAAGAAAGTCCACTGACCTTGTGCTGCACCTGACCTGGCCCAGACAGGACACCTGGCCAGAGAGTTTGTTCTTCATTATCCCCTCCCAGCTGGCTGCCCGCCCATTCATTGGCACTAGCTGGCATGTTGCATGGTGAATGCATTCAGAGTGTGCGCTGTTTTGCTCTGTCAACTATAAGCACTTCAGGGGAGGGATCTTTTATTTCTTATGTACCCTCTTTTGTCCAGCTAAATGTTTTGTACACAGTGTGCCCCCAGCCTTTCCTTTCACACTGGCAATGTTACCGTGGCAATGTTACCGTTGTTGGTAGTGGCTGCATCTTCTCTGATTTGCTGCTGTTTTCAGCACCTTCAGAAACAGGCATCCTGACCAAGGCAGATAGATTAAAAGTATAACTCACACTATTCACAATTCTTACACAGGCCTGAGCAAAATCCCATGGATTACTCTTTGATAAGGCAGAGACTTTTAGGGTTTAGAGCATCAATGTGCATTGGATTTTATTTTATATATCATTTCAAAGGTTATCTGTCTTTTACAAGACAACTGTACATTACGTACATCAGCCAGTTGGAAGATGAAATGATGCCTACTCCAAATATAATTCAGAGAAACTTTAGGTATGAGTTAATTGCATATAAAGTACAATGTGAATTCATGAAATTGAAGTTGTGCCACAAGCATGGAAGAACCCATGTGTGTATCCCTGACCTCCTGTGCTGAGGAAAATATGGCTCCTTAATTTTTGCCACAACATTTATCCTGCAGAGAGGATCAAGCTGATTATGTTAGAGCATTTTTGGGCAGAGAATTTAGTGAAAGTTTGACAGCAGTGGTTCAGGACTACTTACAAATATTTTGGGCAGATAACTATCTGTTAGCTTTTACATCCCCAGAGCCTTCCTTAAATTATGGTTTAAGTAATAGTTCATGGCTAAATTGTAATATAATCTTAGTAGGAGTAATACATCTGTTAAGGTATAATGATGTTATGGTAATATTAAGAATAAATGTTCAGAAACCAACCAAATAAACTGTACTTTTTTTCTTTTGTTACCTCTCTGGAATGCTGTTCATCTAGGCTTTCAGTGATGACATATATTAGAAACTCAAGCTGATGGATAATTATTAGGCTGATGTAAAAGTAATTACAGGGTTTTCCATTACTTTTAGTGGCAAAAACCACAATTACTTTTGCACCAACCTAATATTTTTTTTAACGTGGACTCAAATATGACACAATGGAATCCTGTTATGACACAACTCACTATTACATAGATATAAGTACATTGCATATTGTTTTATATGCCAGAAAACATGAAGATGAAAACCATTAATACTTTATGTATCACAGTAAAATACACGGATATTGTTTGTCTTCCCATCCCTCTTGCACCAGTATTTTTAATCCATGTCCTATGTTTATAAGATTTGTATTTTGTCCAGTCATCTATTAATATATATAATTTTCTTTTGAATAGCACTGTATATTGACAATGGCTATTTTGAAATTTAAGTAAATATTTCCGTGATTAATTTATTCTGTGGGTTTACCTAAGCAAATAGCCCCTGAAATGCCTTTTGGGACTCTGACTGGAAAGAAAACATTGTCTTTGGAGAGGGTTGCCAAGCTCTGTTAATGAAAAGCAAGCCATTTGTTTTCTTTGCTTCGGGGTGTATTCTGAGTGTGTTGGTAATTGTGCCATTGCAGCTGTATTTCCTGACTGTTAGTTTTATGCTTGATGAAGGATGATAATTAATGTGTTAAGCACTCAGTGCATCCTGTTTGGAGGGACACATTTTTTTGCTACAGAATTACAGAGACAGAACTCGTGCCCCAAGAAGTACAGTTTTACTTCTACTTAATCTTTCTCTAAGAAATAGAGTTATCACTCTTTTACAAAATAATTTTGTTATAAAGATGAATTGAGTCTTCACCTCATACTTGAAAAATATACAAGTGACTATTGTGACATTTTGTAATATTTTGTTTTAATGTTTTATGTGACAACAAATATTGCTTTTTTTACCCAAGCCTAACATAATTATGTTGATTCTACTTTTACTGACAGATTCCTTCATCATTTTAATTTTCTTATAATAAATAGATTTTTGTAGCATTTTAACTTTATGGATAATTTAGCTTTGAAATTTAATATTTAAAAATTTTTAATCTTATCATTATAACAGCTCAAATGTAAAGCAGAGGAACTATCTTCTAAGTGGTTTCCAATGACAAAAGCAATTCCCTGATCTTGTATTTTCAAACAACAAACATTGATCAATTCATGAAATGTTACTACATATATATATATATATATATATTGCATGAATTGTAATTAATATATTTATTTTATGTTGATACTAAATCATCTGGGACTATCTTTCACATGGTAGAAATTGAGTCATGGGGCTAGGAATGGAATGTTACTTGCCAGATCTTGAAAACATGGTCACTTTTCTAGAGAAAGTAACTTAGACTAAGAGTTTATGGCATTTTAAAATACTACATGAAATTCTGTCTTGTTATGAGAGCAGTACCCTGTCTTAAATTACCAACACTCAGATGTGGTTGTCTTTGCTTCGTCTTTCTAAGATGTCATTTACTTGCACATTTCTTCTCAGATCCAGAGCAGACATTATCAAAGGGGGAAAAAAACCCTCATAAGTAAAGTGGCTTTTCCTTGGAAGATCTGACATATATTTATATCAGTGATCATTTCCTGTCTATCTGGCATGCTGGCAGCAGGTTAAGTTGGGTGTTTCAGTGAGCATTGGGCCCCTCGCAGCAGTGGACACACTGATCCAGGGCCAATTCCTCCTGCATTTGTATTTTTAAGGAGATCAGAGTGCCTGTATTTAATGAAAATGACCAGTAGTAAAGTGGATTCCTGTGAGATCTCTCATTCCAGTGTTTTTGGAAGGAAAGCCAGTTTTTTGTTTTTTGTTTTTTTTTTTTTTTTGCCTTGCTCTTCATTTTCTCTGGTTCTGTGATAAAAACACAGTGTGTAAAAGCGCAAGCTCTGGAGCCAGCCAGACCTGGCTTTAGATCTGGCTCTGCCACTTTTCAGCTGCATGGTGTGGTAATGAGAGAGGTGAGAGTGGTTGTGATAGTTGTGGCCGTGTTTGTATTAGTGGTGCCAGTGATGGCAGCGGTGGTGACAAAAAAGGTGAAAGTGATGGCAATGGCATTGGTGAAGGGGGCAGTGGTGGTAGCGGTGATGGAGGAGATGGTGGTAGTGGTGATAGGTGATGGTGGAAGAGGTGCTGGTGGTAGTGATGATGGTGGTGGTGATGAAGGAGATAATGGTGGTGGTGGTGATGGAGGAGGTGATGGTGGTGGGAGAGGTGCTGGTGGTAGTGGTGGGGGTAGTGGTGATGAAGGAGATAATGGTGGTGGTGGTGGAGGAGGAAGTGATGGTAGTAGCAGTGGTGAAAGAGGTAAGTAGTGGTGGTGGTGGTAAGGATGACGGTAATGGTTGTGGCGGTTGTTGAGATGGTGGTGTCAGTGGTCAGGATAACAGTCATGGTAAAGGCTCCAGTAGGATGTACTTATTATGAATTCTATAGTAGATCTAGAAGACAGCCATTCAGAGCATCACTACAGGAGAGTTTTTTGAGGTTTCTAGGTTAAGTTACTTTATTACTCTCCATTTTCATCCTAGATTGTCAGTTTTATGTGAGTTTCACAAGTGAGGCTATGAAAGGCAATGGGACAGGAGGTCTGGCCAGATCTCACCCCAGGGTAACCCAACCCACTCCCTCCCTGGCTTTCACAGACACTCTGGCAGCTCAATTCCCAAACCTGTCCTTCGGCTTTCCAGACCTTGGTCTGGGCTCACAGAATTCCCACCAGGGATAGAAGACGGCTGGGCAGGCCTGCAGGCAGGAAAGGCAGTAGGGCCTCCCATCTCTGCAACAGGGCTAATTCTAAAAAATGTAATTTGGCTTTACAACTTGCTGTTGATCTGTGCCAATATTTTAATGCTAAGGAAACCTGAATTTGAAAACATAACTCTGAGCATGTTCAAAAATAACCTTTGAAACAGATGTGCCCA